TTTTTTTGTTTCCCTTTTTTTTTTTTTATGGTGTCATCTTGGCTCACCGCAACCTCCGCCTCCTGGGTTCAGGCAATTCTCAACTCAGGATTATTTTTTTTTTTTTTTTTTTTTTCATGCGATTTAGAGCTCCTCCTTATTTAGTAGCAGTTCTACGTCTTTCTCTAGTCCCATTTTCTCTTGAAGCAGCCATAAAAGTACCATCTGGTTTTTAGCATCATTCTATTTCTGCTTTCTCCTCCCTGCACTTTTCTCTTCTCTGAATGCTTTATGCGATAACAATTTATTCTTGATTTATTATCCACCTGCTTTCACAGCCTTCCCCTTTCTGCTCCTCCTCCACCCCTTTCCCACCCTGAATGGAGTGGTATACCATAGTTCTTAAGGACACAGCTCTGGAATCAAGTAAGGACCAACTCAACCACTTATGCATGTTGGGCTTTAGTGACTTGACCACTACAAGCCTCAATTTCTTCGTTTATAAGAAAGAGAAGGTTATAGTACCATCTACTGCACAGGGTTTCTTGAAGAATTAAATAAAATAATATACATCAGGGTTTCTCAGGCTTGGCACTATTGACGTTTGGGGCTGAGTCATTCTTTGTTCTTAAGGCTGTCCTAGACATTGCAGGATGTTTAGCAACAACCCTGGCCTCTACCACTAGATCCTCATAGCAACTCTCTTCCCAGTTATAACACTGAAAAATGTCTCCAGACATTGCTAAATATCCCAGGGAGGCAAAATTGTCCCCGTTCAGAACCACTGACGTATAGAAACATTTAGCACAGTGCCTGGTACATAGTGGGGACTTGATTAATAATCTTGATGAATGGATGGTCAGATGAATGGTTGAATATTCATTTTTAATACAAGTGTCTAATATAATTCTTGACAGGCAATTAACCACTTAATACATAAATGGATAAACAAATAAACATGAAGCCAGTGAGTTTCAAGGTCTGTCCATAGTTTCTACCTTATACTAAAATGTCGTATCGTCACTAAACACAAGCTTCCTATGTTTCAAAAAATACTTTAGACAATTAACTAACTGCACAGCTTAAACTACTCCCCCAATTTAATATACATGCATATACTTTAAAGAATAGGGAGATTTTAAAATAAACTCTAATGGATGATAGCTATAACAATTATGTTGTAGAATTCATTGCTAAAACTTGAAGTGACCTTTTGATTAACCTGAGTATTTCAGGTTGATATTCCAGTGAATAAGCCATTGATGTGGTAAGAGAACAAAGCTCAGGCAACTTTTAAGTATTTGTTAATCTCAGTTATCTTATGTAAATATTTTTGAGTGCCTACTGTGTTTCAGGCACCATTCTGGGTACTTAGGATACATTCGTGAACAAAACAATGATCCAACCCTGTGGAACCTCCATTCTATGAAGTAATGATCACAAAAATAATAAGTACATATATAGAAATAAAAATATAGATTACTCACAACTTCTAAAATATTAGCATGGGAAATACTCTAGGTGGCACTGACAGCAAAATTCTAGTGGATGACTGTAACTGAACCAGAAACACTTTTGTGACTGCATTCACTGTTTGCCATTTGGTTGCTCATCTGTGTTTTCAGTTTACTGAACTCTAACTTTCTTGTCTGATCTGAATTACAATGAAGGTATTAAATCAAATCTGTGGTTACCTTTGCATGTTTTAGAACTGCAAACATTTAGATTATGATTCACTGTGTGCATAATTTTTTAATTGTCTCAAATCAACAGTCTTACTCTTACTTTTCTAGGTTTTTCTCTAATGAACTAACTTTATAGCATACTTTTTGTGCTGTAGTCTAACAAACCAATAGCTGATTTTTTAAGAAAATTAATACAATATATGCTTTTTTTGCCTCACTTTTTTCACCTGTAAAATGGGATCTGTGAGATACCTAACACATAAAGTTGTTATAAGGATTAAATAAGGTAATGTTTATTAAAAAAAAAACCAAAAACTTAGAACTAAAGAAAATGCCAAGCACATAATAATTATTAAGTGTAGTATTTTCTGCACTCCTACTGGCCATGTACTTTTTTCTAGTATTTCCAGTATTTTAACTTAGTAAATTAGGTAGTATATCTTTTTCTTTTCTTTCTATACTTGGGAGAAAGAAAGCAGGATTACAAGGAAATAAAAGCAAAATGTATAACCGTCAGGGCCATATAAGTAATGTCTCTTTGTAAACCACTAGTCTCAGGAGTAAATCCCTCCACATGATGAAAACCAAGAGATGTGTTTGCATATAACTCTTTTTATAAAGATTTTTTTAATTGCAAAGACACAGTCATTTTTATAAAATTCTAACACACTAAAATTAATAATTTGGAAAGTGAAAAGCCCCTTTATGCATATATTAACTCCAGCTCACTACCTTTAGAGATAATTAATTGTAATAATCAATGTATAGTCTCACTTTTTTCTTTTTTGAGACAGAGTCTTGCTCTGTCACCAGGCTGGAGTGCAGTGGCAGGATCTCAGCTCACTGCAACCTCTGCCTCCTGGGTTCAAGTGATTCTCATGTGTCACCCTCCTGAGTGGCTGGGATTACAGGCACCCACCACCACACCCAGCTAATTTTTGTATTTTTAGTAGAGACAAGATTTCACCATGTTGTCCAGGATGATCTCAATCTCCTGACCTCATGATTCAGTTGCCTCGGCCTCCCAAAGTGCTGGGATTACAGGAATGAGACACTGTACCCAGCATAGTCTCAAAATTTTTTCCTGGTCATTTACTAGTATATATTTCTATTAAAACAAAATCACATTGCACATAGTTTTGCAACTGGCCTTTATTCACTTCGAATATGTCTTTGGTGTCTGTTTCGCCACATTTAGTTCCTTCTTGTTTCCAACAGCTGTTAAGAGTGGTAACTCTCTGGGTCTCTGGGTACTTACCCACAAAAGCACATGCATTAGAGCTGGTTGAAAAAGTCCTTCAGGGCGGGCACCCGTGGCTTACACCTGTAATCTCAACTTTTTGGAGGCCAGAGCTGGCAGACAATGTGAGCTCAGAAGTTCAAGACCAGCTTGGGCAACATGGCAAAACCCCATCTCTACAAAAAATACAAAAATTAGTCAGGCATGTTAGTGCATGCCTGTAGTCCCAGCTCCTTAGGAGGCTGAGGTGGGATACAGAGGTTGCAGTGAGTGGAGCTCGTGCCACTGCACTGCAGCCTGAGTAACAGAGTGAGACCCTGTCAAGGGATGGATGGATGGATGGAAAGAAGGAAGGAAAGAAGGAAGGAAGGAAGGAGGGAGGGAGGGAGGGAGGGAGGGAGGAAGGAAGAGAGGAAGGCAGGGAGGAAAAAGTCCTTCAGCTGAAACTTGCAATGCCAACAACTGACCCCTCTCTCTTTCTCAAAGCACTAACCCAACAAGGGGCACGAGCAGAGAGGCTCAGAAGGTCTTCTCAGTCCACACCAAGAAACCAGACCTTTCTCAGTGCAGGGAGAAGGATGAACTGAATGAGGAATACTCACTCATATGGCAGTTAATCCAGAGGATGACAGAAACATTACAAATGTGACACCATTGAAATGGAACTCCTCTTTGGAGTGTGGAAGCCCAGTCTTACACAACTCACTTGAAGCAGAAAGGAAATTGTATTTGAGGATGTTAAGGTCGAGCTAACTTTTATTAAAATTGCCACAGGAGGTCATTCATCCCTACTTCATTTATACACTTCAAAACCTACTTCCCACCACTCAGATACTTACTTGTGGAGTGATTAAGTTCTCTATCTTTTCTATGCTTTCATTAGATGCTCTTTTTCTCTTTTTTGCTTATAAAAAGGAAGATTTTTTTAAGTCAAGTGTCAATATGCCAAACATTAAGTATCCACTCCCTTGCAATGCAGTGTTTATATTTACAAACCCTATTATAACAAATATAATATTACTTAATTATGCAGCAAACTTACAAATAATTGGTGAATCAGGTGTAAGAAATACTCTGTACAGGAAGAATATTCAGCTTAGTTGAGGCCTTTGTTAAACAATATGCAAAGTTGCAGGTGCCATGCTAGGGAATTTTTGGGATAAAGGAAATGTAAACTTATTTGGCAGGAAAACTAGAGGCATGATTATACCTTGTAGTACTTTCATGGCTGGACAGATTTAGATGCCTCTGTCACATCACCCAGAAGCTGTAGTGTTAAAGGCTGAGGCAGGAGCTCCTTTTGCCACAGGAAAAAGGATGAAACCAGAGACATTGTGAAACGTTGCCCCAAAGAGTTTTAAGGCTCTCTGAAACCTTGGGTTTTTTTAATGCTATTGTCCAATCTGTTGAAGGTTAATTAATATGTGGTTCAAAATTGCATAGGGAAGGCACAGAATGGCCAAAGGGTCAAAACTACAGCAATAGGTAGGTCCTGTTCTCTGCCTTTTCACTCCTAAGTCTTCACAGAGGCCAAGTGGCACTAGGTGTGGCTGGGGATCAGGATCTGCATATTTGTGCCTTAAATAGGTCAAAGCGAATTTTTGGAAATATTGTTTTGGTAAATAAAAATTCCTGGTCATGCTAATTATGGCTGTTTCAACCTGTCTCTTTCAGATACCATTGTTCTTATTGCTTCAATAGCAGTTGTGTCTGCAAAAACTCAGGGTAATATTTTTGCCACGTCTGCACTCAGAAGTCTCCGTTTCCTACAGATCCTCCGCATGGTGCGCATGGACCGAAGGGGAGGCACTTGGAAATTACTGGGTTCGGTGGTTTATGCTCACAGCAAGGTAAGATTTGCTTTCTGAGTTCAGAAACAAAATTTTTGACACCTTTTTGTTGATTGCTGTAATATTTAATAAACCTATCACAAGCAAACTTAGTCATTGCAGAAATTGGTTAAAACAATTTTGGGACATGATGTGCAATGTACTGTGTAAAAGCCATCATAAACATCCAAGAATTAGTAAAGTGGATAGAATCATCATAGAATTCTTTTTTCCTTTTTCAAAGATTTTCCACCTCTAAAAAATCTTTCGTTCCTTTTATGTCTAGGAATTAATCACAGCTTGGTACATAGGATTTTTGGTTCTTATTTTTTCATCTTTCCTTGTCTATCTGGTGGAAAAGGATGCCAATAAAGAGTTTTCTACATATGCAGATGCTCTCTGGTGGGGCACAGTAAGTATAAAAATATGTTTTTATTTATTGGATGTTGTGAAATGGTTTTTTTTTAATACAATGTAATGGTTCCTATGGAGGGTCTCAATAAAAATATCAACTTGCAAAAGAGAGTTATGTGGAAAATATACTACTTATAATTGTCTAAAGGCTTTCCACATCTTTTTGGGCCAACTATGGTCTCTTGTAAACCATCATTAATATTTCTTGAGTACTAGCTTGTTGCCAAAATAAAAATATATAAATATATATTATTTTTTGAATGGTGATTAAAACATTGATAGGTTGCTTATTTGTTTTAACTTTATGGAGCACAAATTGAAATTATTAATTGTTATATTGATTTTTCACTCTTCAAAAGTTTATCTGGGTTTAAAAAATGAACGGAAGCTCTGAATAAAATTGCAGCAATGAAAAAGAAGACTGGTAACCATCTGTGAGATCAGAGATTATAGACATCTAATTTCAGAACTTTCCTCTCAAAACCTGCTTTTTATTTATATTGTTATTAAAGAATAATTTTCCAAAAAAATAAAGTAAAATCATGATTCTCACATAAATAGAAAGTTAACACATGCTAAACATTTTATTTAACTCATTTTTAAAATTTAAGTCATTAATAATGAAGAAACCAGTGAGATGTTAAAACCGGTTCAAAGCACTATCAAAAGAACAGGAACATTTAAAGATCAGGAATATTGAAATCAATGTGCAAATAGAGGCAAAACTGGCTCCTTCCACAGTGTGGGAGGGAAGTCAGTTAAACCTCCACTAGGCAGAATTTATTTACATGTCCATAGGCAAGAATTATTTTGCATTGCTACCAGTTATCAACAACTTACAGAGCTGTAAAATAGCTAAAAGGCTATGAAAAGAGCAGAGCCCTGTGAAATCAGAATCCAAAACCCTGGAAGGGCGTACTCTGAACAACACATAGTTTTCCACTGAAGCAAAAATTTTCCCTGCATTGTAAAGAATTTATAAAACAGTCATTGGAACTTGTGCCCTAATAAGAATGTCACCGGATATAGGAGTGCTGTATACAATGTATAAATTACATTTATTTTTATTTTATTCCTTTAAGGTATTCCAAAGGGGAGTTATATGAAAATAATTATAACCAAGCATGGTGGCTTATGCCTATAATCCCAGAACTTTGGGAGGCCAAGGCAGGAGGATTGCTTGGGCTCAGGAGTTTGAGACCAGCCTGGGCAACATAGCAAGACCCCATCTCTAAAAAAAAATAATAATAATACAAAAATTAGCCAGGTGGGAGGATCACTTGAGCCTGGGAGGTAGATTATAAATGCTTGTCTACAGAATGTCCATATCTTTTTGGTCCAAACCCCTTAAGTTCTCTTTTATACCACCCTTAGTATTTCTTGAGTTCTAGAGTGTTGCCAAAATAAAAATACATGATTTTCTTAAACTGTGATTTAAACAATAAGCTTTTTATTTGTTTTTTATGGTTTTTTTGTTGTTGTTGTTCAGTGGAGCACAGATTTAAGTTACCAATTGTTGCATTGTTCCACTACTCATCAAAAGCTCATCAGCAAGACCCAGAACACTTGTCAGAGACAAGGAACATTTTTTAGGTCTGTATCAAGCAGCACTTGTATTTGTTGATTGCATAGCAGCAATAAAATGAATAAAAATCAGAAATACATTCACCTAAAGATTAGAATTTTTTTCTTAAGTTGTCTGAGTAAATGTCTACAAGATTATGCCATTGGTTTCAAAGGATTCTGTTGGTTTAATAATGTGGTTTCCGGCTGCTCCCCACTATTCACAAGCAATAATGGGCATTTCCAAAGAAGAGTGGAAACTTGAAAGAGAGCAGTCATCTGACATTCTTAAAATACTTTTTATATGTAGAGAGCAAATGAAAATCTATGACTCATGATGGGATAAACTGTAAACTGAGAAAACAGGAGGCTTTTCTTGCCAGCAAGGGAAGACAGTTTATTATCCCAGCCTTCAAAGCAGTGGTTTGAATTCAAGTTTAATTTTGCTTCTCTTGGATAATTCTAATGTGTTTAACTTACTGATGCTCCCAGGTGCCCCTTTTCCCACTGAGATGCAGTTGTTGGTGAGTTTAGCCTGGCAGCTCATTATCCTTCTTTTTATTAGTCTTCCCTTTCTCCTTATTACTAAAAAGAATTGCTGTGTTGTGTGTTAAACAGTGTGTGGGAAACTCTTAATATACCTCTCAGTTAGTCACCAGCTTGTTTCCTTTGCCAGAATTACCCACACAGCAGGTTTTCAAAGGTCATATCTGTGACTTTCAGGGGAAGAAACATATTTTCATTGATTTCCCTTTCGGCTGTGCTAATTTGACTCACATTTAACCCGTACTTAACAGGTTCATGAATGGCCTAATTATGTTTCTATTTTTTTTTAATCCAGTCTTAAACATGAGAGTAAAAATCTTATAAGATGTCAGACTTTGAAGAATTTTTTAAGGCCTTATTGGTTCATAGCAGGTTTGTTGATATTAACTGACTCATTAATGAAATTGTCTGAAATGTAAAAAGACAGAAAAAGCAAACAAGAGAACTCGCCATTTCTATTTATTTTAAGAAGAACATATACTAGATTCCTAATGGGAAATAAAATATATTTAGACTATTACACCTCTTATTGATACATTAATCAAGACCTTAGTGAAAAATATGGTTGGGTATTTCTTAGTTAAAATTGCCCGTGTTGCACCTAATAGACATCTTAATAACTGTGGAAGTATCCAGAATAAATAGGGAAAGGACAGCATCCTAAGTGGGAGTATTTCTAAGCGTTATACTTTGATGAAAAAAGGAAATCCCCTATATTAAAAGAGTCCACAGTATCAAAATTAACTATCAAAATATAGTTTTTTTTCTACAGATACACTGTCCCAGTGAATTTTCAATACTAATTGCTGAACTCCTTCCATTAAGATAGTGAGGTCTGTCCCCAAGATCAACTTTTGGAGGGTTATCATGGTGGGATCAGTGCTGCTCGAAGCCAAAACAATTCAAAGAGTTTTGATCCCTGAAAGCAATTTCATATTACTGAATAGCAATACCTAGCTCATTGAGTAAGTGAAATAGATATAAAAGACCTGGTACCAAAAACATTGCAAGTGCCCAATCAACTATGATAGCTATTGTTGGTGTAGACACGACTGCTGCGGAAGTTAAATGAAAGCACCTTTAATACAAAAGGAACAAAAAAAAATGCTGAGTGTTTTGATGCAGACCCATGGAACACAGAAAAGGATTGGGAATTGGAGGTTGTGATGAAAAGATGCCCTGGGTTCTGATGTGGCCACTAAAGTTGCATTGATGGCAGAAAATGGAAGAGGGAAATAACTGTAGTAGCTGAGGCACTGAGAGCTACTGGAAAAGGAGTTCTTCTGATTGCTGGGTGGAGCTCCACTTATTATCACTTTCTATTGTTATTTTTCTCATTGAATGTTTCAGATTTATTCTGAAATAATTTAAGAATGGGTTTTCCTGGGGTTATTTTGTTATTAAATCCTTCCTGTTATTATTTTTCTCCCTTTGATTTGCTTTAGATTTATTCTGATGTAACTTAAGGTCAGGTTTTCCTGGAGTAACTTTTTCTGGTAATAACCTTGAAGGCCAGTTTGTCCTCTTTCTATTCACTGGTATTACTATAATGAAGATAGTGTTATGGGGTTTTATTTTTAAAAGATGCATACAGCAGCAGATAGTATAAATCTACTCTTGAGTAAGCATCTGAATATAGACTTCACCTAAGACCATGTGCTTGAAGTGAGTATGTCAGGCATGTCGAAGAATTTTATGTCAGCCAGAATTAGTCCAAGAATTCATGCTGAAAAATCTCATAGTCTTTCTAGAAGCAAACCATATAGATGTTTCTATGTATAAAATGTAGTATACTGTGCACTCAACATGTTGTACATCCCAAATACATGCCTTGAGATTCATCCATCTGTAAAATCTAAGGGTAAGAAATTGTGTAAATTTGTGGAATAAACAATGATACTCTTGTCCTGATAGTACCAGGACCCTTCAGAGAATCAACTCTCCTTACATTGGGCTTACTAATACGAAATGTTTCTGCAACATCATCTAAGCTGATGTTTTTGAATTAATGCTGGCGTATTAAAGTTAATAATTACTTCTTACTACCAAAGCATTATCTGATGGTATCAAAATGTTACTTGGTCATTAAAGGATCAACACACTAGCTCCTAACTATTCAAGAATATGATCATTTACCAAGAAAAACAGAGACACACACACCCCACCCTCAACCCACTGAAACATCCAAGCTACTATGAGCATCTGTAAGTCCCATGCCTACCTTATTGGCATGCATTTGTGATGTATATTATCATATGCCTCTTTGGGGAACTCTTTCCTAATGAGAAATCTAAAGTAGCATTGATGACAGAATATTTCTTCAATAATGTCATCTCACACATGCCTCTGGACACTTTTTCTCAGTGATTATTATTCTATAAGCATTGAGCATAGGCTGTTTTGAAAAAATAGAACTGGTGTCAAGAGACCTGGGTTCTGGCCCTAACATTATGATTTAATGTAGGTATATTATTAAGCAGTCATTAACATCTCTGTAAAATTGAGATATCACCCAAACACAAAGTTGCTATCTATCTAAAATGAGATTAGGACATGTAGCTGTGCTTTATCAAGTACTAAGCAAATAGTAGTCATTACTGTTGTTACACCACCAGTCTGAAAGAACAAGATGGAATGCTAATGCCCTGAGCTGCTTGCCACAGCAAAGCCCAAATTTTATGATGCCACCACCATAGGAGATTCTAATGTTTGAAGATGGAAAAGCTTTCTGACCTACTAGTTCAAGGTGACTAAATTTCAAAATTGACTGCACAATTTCTGTGACCACCTACTATCTGATCCTAGGTGAATCACCCTTCCTTAAAAGACTTCCTTATGGGCTGAGCATGGTGGTTCATGCCTCTAATCCCAGCACTTTGGGAGGCTAAG